TTATTGCATCAGAAGTAGGCTCATCTCGGCTACCATGGTTCCGTAGTGTAATTAGTTTATCACATTTGCTTTACACGCGAAAGGTCTCCGGTTCGATCCCGGACCCGGAACCATAATAAAGAATGAAAGTTTCTTTTCTTTTTATGATTAAGGAATTAAAATTAGATAAACACGGGGAGGTATCCCACTTTTTTTATCATTAGTTATAAAGACATTTTCTTCGGTAACATCACGTTCTCTCTTCAAAATAAAAGTTTAGCTCCAACTCTGTCTGTGTTAATGCATCAGCGTAGGCTCATTCTCAACTTCCAATCTGGTTCCGTAGTGTAGTGGTTATCACGTTCGCTTTACGCGAAAGGTCTCAGTTCCGATCCCGGACGGAACCATAAAAAAGAATGCTTTCTTTTTTTTTTTTTATGATTGAATTAGATAAGCTTTAGAGGTATCACTTTTTTATCATTAGTTATAAAGACATTTTCTTCAGTAACATCGTTCTCTCTTCAAAATAAAGTTTAGCTCAACTCTGTCTGTGTTGTTGCATCGATAGGAAACAAATCTCGGCTTCCATGGTTCCGTAGTGTAGTGTTTATCACGTTCGCTTTTACGCGAGGTCTCGGTTCCATCCGGACGGAACCATATGGAGGAAAATGCTTTTTCTTTTTTTTTTTATGATTGAGAATTTGGTATACGCATGAGGGTATACTTATCATTGGTTATAAAGGACATTTTCTTCGGTAACATCCCGTTCTCTCCTTAAAATAAAGTTTAAACTCCAACTCTGTCTGTGTTAATGCCATCAGAAGTAGGCTCTTCTCTCGCTTCCCGCCCAGTTTCAGCCCGGTATGGTAGTTTATCGTTTTCGCTTTGCGAGGTCTCCGGTTCGATCCCGGGCAGAACCATATTAAGAATACTTTCTTTTCTTTATGATTAAGAATTTAAATTACATACGCATAGGGGTATCCCACTTTTTTTTATCATTAGTTTTAAAGACATTTTTCTTCGGTAACATCACGTTCTCTCTTCAAAATAAAGTTTAAGCTCCAACTCTGTC